AAAAAACCCCCCCCCACAACAACCCCCCACTTTGTGTTTTAATTATTTTTCGGGGGCCCCCCACCCCCCCGCCCCCACACCCGGGGGGGGGGGGGGGCCCCCCCCCCCCCGCCCCCCAGAAAAATTTCAGATTTTCTGCCAAAGGTTTTGATAACACTTTCTGGGAAATTTTTAAAGTTCAGTTTATCAGAAAATTTCTGTATTTGTTGAAATAAACTCAAACCAAAGATGCTTTCTGTCAAATTTCTCGCAGAAAGTCGATGTTATTTCTGCACAATTTCTTGCAGAACCTCCGATTTACAGTGTACTCAAACTCTTTTGCAAAAAAATCGACTTTCTGCGAAAACAATAAGACTTTCTGCCAAATTTTTAGCCCCCTCCCCACTCCGAAAAACAATTGGGAACCCTGTGCATAATCAAATACTAGTAGAGTTGAACTTTTTCTTTGAATCTAAAAGCTGGAGGCAAAAGTAAGCCTCAAAAATAAGCCAAAAATAAGCCTGATCAAACATTCACGGAAGTGCTCCTGCTATATGCCACGAAGTAAGAAATCGTTGCATTTCATGAATTGCTCGCTGTTTTTGATTTTTCAAACATTTAGATGGAACAAGCAGCAGATCATCAACATCGGCCACATCAACCGTATCGAAAACGTCGACAACATCGACCGTATCGAAAACACCGACAACATCACGCGCATCACCCACATCGCCGAGTCCGACAACGAGAGTAGCGTCCACTATCCTGACAACATTCATTTCCGAGAGCTCCCATCCCCATCAATGCTCCAGTTACATACTGATTACTGACAAGACGCGTCACTCTACCCAACCGCACTACATCGGGTGCGACAAGGCCATCTTCAAGTCGTCAGCCACTTGGGTGCGCTTCTCGGGCGCTGCCGGCACTCGTCTAGCTCCTGGTCCAATGGAACCCTTCCACTGTGGAACACAGTTGACTGGTTGGTACAAGGGTGTCTATCCATCATTAGTAAGCGCCAAAATATCAGGCACCGTGTGCTATAATTGGCCAGGCAATCAGTGTCAGTGGTCCAACCCGATTTCGATCACCAGCTGCAATGGCTACTATGTATGCGAGCTTCCTGCACCTCCTGTGTGCTAGTTGCGTTATTGCACTGTCTGAACAGAAGTGATATGCTCGCGGAGCGTGCTGTCGATGTTTCTCACTCTCAGCGTTTAAGAAACGGATGCAGTCCTGTTAGTTATTATCTATATGTTTTATATTTAATAGTTTAGTTACACGGTCATCATTAAGTCATATACAAGTCGCCCGTATGTAATTCTTCATTACTCAACTACATGCTCCGGTACACTCGTTAGTAAAATCTGAAGTAGCCTTTGGACACTTCAGATGGTAACCCATTAACGAGGTTTCTAATTCGAGATTTACAGGATCGATCCAGCTCGACATTACATATCAGGAACTAGACCTCAGATCGGAAGACTAATAAAGGAATTCGATAAAAATATGCAATTACTTCTCTACTTTCAGATGTGTGAAGTTTATGGAAAAGGAAGAATTCTCAAATTTAAGTTACTCATACGTTCGCCAGAGGCTAGAAAAGGCATTCATTCGGATTACAGCAATGTTAGAATTCATCGCGTAGCTCAGGCCGAAGGACTTTCTACTTTTCAGAGATTATTCTTAATCACGACTGCACTAAGTCTTGCTTTCGCACACACAACTGCAGGCTACGTTGTAGAGGCTCACACTCATACTAGTGTGAAACGCTCCGTTGTTGCCAACAGTATGTGAAAAAAGTACGGATCGCTTTTTTTTTGTTTTGCTTTATTACTAAGAAAATACAGCTTTTCTGAATCAGGAGCGAAAACGTCGAAAGTCATTTTTTCAACCGGAACTCAATTTTATGCAATTAAAATATCAGATTCGGACTCAGCGTCGAAAACTGAGTCGAAGAATATATGTCTCAAAATTTTTATTTGATTTTCATTTTTTGGTGAAAATCTGAGTAATTTATTTGACGTCAAAATTCAAAAAAAACAAAAGTGGTCGAAAAATTTTAAAACATATATCTTCGGCTTCGTTTTTACGCGTCAGAATAGATCATTGAATCGTTTAAACGCATTGAGATGACCCTAAAATACGTAGAAGAGCATTGAAAACGAAAGAAGAATTTAGAAAATTAAGCTTTTGCCGTAATTTGAATACGGGATGTCGTCGTAAGAGTCTCGTCGGTGCTTACCTATGGAGCCATAATCGCACCTATATACATAGAATAAAAGACCTATATATATTGAATTTTTTAACGTTAAGCACAATACGTTTAAAAGAAGAAGGTTTACGTTTTTGACGTTAAGTTTCATAAAAGTGGAAAATACATCTAAGTTTTTAGTTTTTGCTCTTTTTAATAGCAAAACCAAACGTTTTTTTAAATTTTTGCACCTTATAGATTATTTAATATGCTGATTGCCTTTTTATGATTTCTTTTTGAGAAATTTTAAGTTTCAACCCCTTAACTATCATATTTTTAAAAAAGAAATTAAACAGCAAATTTCAAACAAATAAACTTTTAGTAATTTAAACTGTAATAATCTATGCTGTCTGCACTTTCAGACGTACATATAGATTGCGTATGATATATACAGAAGATAGTTCTACTGTTGAGGATTGTTGTAAATAAATAATTAAAATAAATGAATTTAGTCTTTTACGAAATACACGGTAGGCCATAAAAAGTGAGCCTCTCAGTATTTTCTGTTTTTCTCTTTCTTCCATAAGATCCTACGGTTAATATTTATTTAAAAGATGCTCCGCGAAATACTCTACAAAATCGTGGTGCTAACGAACCCGACATGTGGGGTGCGTGAAATTCACAACTTATAGAAAATAATTTCCGTTTTCTTCAGTATGGTTCAATCGAGTTATCT